TAAAATGTACATTGTTAGCACTGTGAAGCCACTTAAAGTTAGGGTTTTATCAGCTCCCCTCAAATAAGGACAGGAACCCTTTTTGAATGAAAATATGTTATATATCATAACTCCTACTGAAAAAGTAGAAATAATTTCTCATGAAAAAAAACTCTACTTCTTTTCAGATGAAGCCATGTACCTTTGATATTTATAGGGAAATGCTGGCATACTTGGATGTAAGCGATGTGTCCAAAGAGGATGCGTAATCCCGACTAACTGTGAAACTTCATGTCTTCAGAAAGTAATAGAAAACCCACTTCTTAAATCAGTTTCATTATCTGAACTGAAACACATGAACACAGCCCTAAAAGAGAAATTACACTGACCTGAAGAAAAAAAGACAAATTTAGAAATTTCCGTGAGGTCAATTAGAAACATAATAAAGTTTCTGAACACCACTCTGATAAGTGCAGTGAAAATGACAGAATTTTAGGATAAAGAAATCAAAGAAGAGTAAGAATCTCACAAAGTTATCTAGTTTATGGTTATTATAATCTATTAATGAAACCTCAGTTATGTGTCCCAAAACACAGGCAACCCTCCTCCCTCAAAATACCCTGCAAAAGTGAAAAAGTGAGAGTCTGACTTCAAAAGCCCTTCAACACTGTAACAGTAGATCAAGTATATTTTAATTAGAAAAAGATTCAGAGTGTAGAATGCAGGTCTGGCTCTGGACATAAACTGTTCAAAAATGCAGTCTGGCTGTCATATTTCAACTGGGGCCTCTTATTTTTACTGTGGAAATAAAGATGAAAAAATTCTCCACTGCAACATTGGTATGAGTCCAAATTGACAGTAACTTTACTAGAGTTTCTTGGGATTTACTCTAATAGGAAGTTTTATCACTGCATATCAACATTAGTCATGCATTAGGTTATAAGTCAAGTCAAAACAAAGTAAGCATATATTAAATTGTGAAGTCAAAAGAAAGTAGAAGTGAAATCTTGAGTACACTATATTCAGTAATCTGATGTTGACTTTAATTGAACCAGTATGTCACCCTAAAAAACTGTAAGAATTCAAGCCTTTGTTCTATATACATGATATGCATTACATAGTATGTGCCTCTTCCGAAGAGCAAAGACCTTAGGTAAATATAAATGCATACTTGATTTGATTAGAAATTGCTGTTTAAATCAATCATTCCTTAGGGTAGGAGGTCTGAAATTATTTCACCTGACTGTATCATTCCGATTTGGACATTTCTGCTATCTGAAAATGGAGAAAAACGTCAGCCTCTTAGAGCATGTTTATTCTGTGTCCTGTATGAATGCAGAAGCCATGTCACTTTGTTGCAACAGCCTTCTCTTTTCTATGAAGTAGTTTATAGATAAAACAAATTAATTCTAGCCAGCCAGGAAGTTTACCTGAGTCACTGTAGAAAGCTGACCAAAATAAAATATTATTTTACCAAAATTTGGCAATTCCCTCTCCCCACTGCTGGTATTTGAATGTTAAAATATCCAGTAAGGTATTCTGATTTCCAATTGTATTGGTTATTTTATCCCTTGGAATAAAACAGCTCTACTCCAGATGTACTTTAATCTTCCTCACTGCGTCCACCAGATTTCAATTTTCTGTTTTCCATTTGCTTAGTGCTCTCATCATGAGCAATGTGTCTGTGTCACTTCCTCCCTGTATGTTTAGGATTTTTCTTGAATCATACAATATGTAAGAAGAAAAGCCGAAACAAGAGTCCAAGTTCTTCATGGTTGCTATTTTTAAATACAGGAACTTCTGCGGGGCTCAGTTTGAAAAGAAGATTCCTTTTGAAGAGCAGAGAAAAAACAACAGCAAGCTACAAATCACATGCAGGTACAAATAGTCATATAAAATCTCACTTCCTTGCCCTCCAGCAGGTCAGCATAAGTGAGACTTCAAAAGCATCAAATATCCAAACAGAAACAACAGAGAATCAGGTCCCCAACTGTACCTGATGCATTTGGGATATGCACTGAAATGCACAGACTGTCACCAACGTTTTGGGCCATTCGGTTGCTGGTATCTCTTTTCTCTCCACAGTATCAGCCTGACTTAGGAGAAGTGCAACTTTGATTCCTACAGATGCAAGGCTAACTTTTTTTAAGTCAAGGGCAGAATAGGTGGGGAAGAAGGGAGAGTCTTCTTGACACTGGGCATAAGAGGGGCAAAGCAGTCCCCGGGGCAGCAGAGACATAGGAAGCCCAAGCCATCCCTCTTTGCTCTTCCTAGGAACTATGTCATCTGCCACCTTTAAGTCACAGGGCACAGGGTTCTTGAGGGACCATCAGTTCCTCTCTGCTGGCAGGCACATACTGTCATTCTGAACCCCCATTTGGAGACAAGTTTAGGATCCTATGTTTAACACAGAATGAATAGAATAGAGCCAGAACACTTTCACAGTATACTAGGATGTTCTACTGTAAAACATCAAGAGAAATCTAGGTAAGACAAACACCTTCGTTGGAGTTCTGCCAGGATATAAATATATTCCAGATAAGAACATTTGTATCATTAAATGGTGTCACGGTACCAGGCAGCTTGTTGAGGTACAATGCTTATTGTGCCTGTGCGATTTGCACTGGTGTGTATAATACACACTTCAGAGAGCAGACTTCAGGGGTGAGCCTACTGATGCTGCTGAGTACCCTAATCCTGCTCACATTCCTATTTTACTACTAGCTTTTCTACTAATTCTATATGAACAATCAGTTCCAACAGAAATTTATTTTTGCAAGTCTTGTGTTTTATAGTTGACTATGACAACTAGTGGTAGCTTTTCCTGTGGTTCCAGTATTTATGAAGTATTTTTCCATGTTATTAGACACTACAGAATAAACAACCCAGATCACATTTCAGCCTTTCCCTTGCAGATCTCTCTCCTCTACCCAGCCACCTATTTGCATGAAACCTTCAGGAATGTAGTATCTGAGATAGCTACTACCCTCTGTTAAGTTTACTTGAAATCAGCCAATGAATTGATTGGTTTTAAAGAGGAGAACACACAAACACACCCTCCCTTGTCTGATTACAGTATCCTCATTTCATAAGGAAGCCATACTAAAAAAAAAAAATCAAACCAAAAGTAACTCACTGAGCTGAACTCCATGCCTGCTAGAAGCTGTCTGTCCATCATCTTGGCCAGAACACAAGAATGTCTGGTAACATAGATGAGTAAATTTTACTCTCAGGGCTCATTATTTATTATGCAGTAATATCATACGATTTTTCTTAATAGTAGCCAGAGCACTTCTTTATTCACAGTGCAGTGGCTGTGTAAATGCCTGTAAAACTTTATGAGCTTCACTGCTTCAAAGCACTTACAATCTAGGTATGATTAATAAATCATGCACATGCACACTCTCTCTTGTCTCTCCCTAATCTTTCAGAGCAAGACTCCAGTTAGTTTGTGTCACATCACCCGCAAAGAGCTCCTCTGCAGTGACTGAGCAGTGTTGTTAGCGGTTCTTTTGTCAGCTAACTCTAAAACATGCAAGTCCCCTTGCAACTGAGCTACATCAGGGACTTAATTAACTCTAACATTTTCACCCACAAAACACCCACACATGGTCTGCCAGCTGTTTCCCTCTTCTCGCACATTCCCTTCCTTGCTTATTGATGCTGCTGAGCACCTACACCCTCATCAACGATTCCTTTGTTTTATGGCCTGCCCTCCACGAGGCTTCTCTTTTTGGGTGTATAAGCAGCACCCTGGTTTTCTATGCAATGTTCTCAGAGATCCCACTAGGTGGCACTGACTATCTAGGATTCTTTCTCCATTCTGCAGATTTATCTCCCTTGTTTTGCTCCAGGTCTTCTCTCCCTTCTTGCAGCATTTCCAAGCACTGAGATCATCAGTTTTAATAACCGCAAAAACAAACAGCTCCTTGGATCTTTTTTCCTATCTTTGCAGTGCTGCACTGATTCAAGCCAAAAGACAAGCCATCCACAGACAAAAAGATTTCCAATGTCATTTTTACAGCTAGTTCAAAAATCTCACCGGTATAACCTTTAATTACTTCTTTCAGGACCACTTTCATGTAACAAGTCCTTACTGATTCACTGCTCTGTCATCCTCACTTCTATGTGCACACATAATAAACCTAATCTCTGCAAGCATTACCGTTATCCCAGACAGACTCACTAGCTGGACAGACAGGGAAAGCTATGAGGAAAAGTGATGTGACAGTGACTGAGAACCGCCAGTAGTTTTTATCTTCTGATAAATGTGCGGACAGGGAGAGAGGAGTTCTAGATGAAGGCTGTTGAAGGAAACTCCTTAAAGTTTTGGAGGAGAAAGACATGCATGAAACAGGCCCAGGAAAGGAATTATTCTTTTATAGATTGAAGTAACTACTGCTGGTGCACCTTTTCAAAGCTTGACCTTAGCTAAACTTTAACATATGCAAACAAAATTAGCTCATGAAAAGCTAGTATAGGTTATTTAGTTTTTTTCTTGGGAAAGTAGTTATAAACTGGAGAGCTGGATAAAGAATTTAATTGTAAACAAAGGCTAATCAAAGCCATTTGAGTTTAGAGCAACTGTTCTGCAAAATGCACATGGCTTTCTTCTTTCTCTTCTTCTGGGCCCTGAGCCTGCAAAATCGTAAACACAAGAAAAGGGGCTATCCGAGTGCTTGAAGAAGAGGGAACTAAATTGGGGTTTGAAAGTGCAGCTGCCACTTTCTTGCTTTTCTTTACCTAAGAACTGTTTAATGATTTATGCTACTTTCAAATTGCTCAATGCACCTTTCACCGGATTTACAAGAGATCTTCAGAGAAAGCGCTTCACAATACAGGTTATAAAACTGACAATAAATAACCCACAGCTCCTGTGACAGAAATGCATAAACCCAGTCACCGATCACAGCCGACTTCAAACAACATCATTAAAACAGAAGGCTCAATCCTGTTGTCTCTGGACTATATAGCAAAGTCAATAGGACGTCACAGGAATATTCTGATGCCATGGTGTAACTTCCTGTCTGGTTGCACTTCTGCTGAGGGGTATAATGCCATAAAAGTTTGACTAACGAATCATTCAGTTAAGTTCCTGTCCCAAAGAATTACAAAATACAAAATGTATCAGGCAAAATGAAGTTAAATGAGTTTCTGGTAGCCAAAAAAATAATTCTCTCAATAGGAACTAGTGATGAATAATTCCTCACCAAAAGGACTGAAGTAATTTTGGATATCTTAGATATGTAATTCTCACAGTGCAAAACTCACAGTTAAAGAGCCGTACTCTTCTCAGTGAAATGGAGAAAATGCTCGCAAATGGAGGGACTGGGATCATCACATCTCCTATGGTGTCCAGTCATTGAGCCACCTGAACATAAGGACTGATGCAAGCCTCCATTTCAAAGCAGCAGCTCACATAGTAAGGAAGAATTCCACTCAAATTCTCTCAAATTCTTCACAGCATGTGACCTACCGGTAAGACAAACAAATACTTGCACAAAAAGTAAACACCAAACGCCCAACCAAAAACCCATACAATGAAGGCATAAAGACTAGAAAAAATTAGGCGAATCTGAAATATAACAAATGAATTTGGTTTGCACTTTAACGAAAGGCTTCTTTTCCTCAGCCAAGGTTCAATGAATTGCTAGATAGCCTTTTATAAATTAAGGCCAAGATACTAGAAACTGTATGTATTAGTGTAAGTGCAACCACTCCCACTGAGTTCAACAGTAACACCTGAAATACAAAAAGTTAAAAAATTTTCAGGATAAGAGCCTAGAATTTTTCTAATGACAGGTTTTTCTCAAATTCAGCTATTTTCTCCACTCCTCTATACTCTTTTAGGTTCCCAACCACATCCCTACATCTCAAACTCCTTTGAACAGAAACTAATATGTTATTTTATAATGTGACAGTAAAGCACTTTTAAAACTAATGATTAGGATAGATAGTCATGGTTTGAGAGAAGCCTGCATTCATTTTGCTGATGTGTATGGGCAGCACAAAAGCTAGAAGAAAAACAACTAAATTAAAAAATGAAACAAAATTCAGTCAGGCATAAGCCTGAAACTGACTGGAAAAACATTGTCTATTTCTGAGTCAGGCAGGCCATCATAATATCACTAATGGAGAGGACAGTCATATGAAGACAAAAGTGAATGTGAATATGGCTGTTAAGGTCTTTACTTCATTTTAATCTCATTTGGAGTTCTTTATCTACATTTCTTCAAATTTTATAAATAAATTCCTGAATGCTTGTTTTCTCTCCTCAGACTAATTCAATGAAGTAAAAAGTTCTTTCCAAACTCTCCTTAAAAGCCTCCATTTCAGATGCTTAAAAAATTGCAAAGATATCACAGATATGAACATCAATGAAAACTACATTAGTTCATCAGTCACTACCTTATCTTGCTGTGCAATGACAATGGAAAAAATTTTGAAGATGAGATTCTCTTTCCTGGAAGGCCAGACAGTTTTACAGCTGTAGAGTATCAGACCCTGGCTTTTATTCAGGTACTGTAAAACCAAAAGACTGTGAAAAAACTAGACAAGTCTGACAAAACTGGAAAAAGCAGGGGATGGAATAATTCAAAATTCACTGACCTATTTACTCGTCCATCTGCCACAGCCTACATTCTGGATAGCCCAATGGGAAATGCACCAGGCAATTGTAATCACAGAGGATTATTCTATATGTCAAAAAAAAAAAAATCTTTGTAGTCAGTGTTCCCAAGGTCAACATTTTCCTCTAACTCTTAAGATACTGAGTCCAACTGCTATCTTTTGAGACAGTAAAATGGGGAAGTCCACTTCCCTCTCAGAATTTTACAAGTAGGACACAAAACTCCCCAATCTACCAAACAACCCTTTACCACACAGAGAAACCACCGGGCTTCTGTATCCAAATTGTTCTTCTTACATTTGCATGGTGCTCTCCCAGGAGTCAGGTACTGCATGACAGTTCCCACCTCACTGAAGGCACAGCCCCATATCTTTATATGCAGTTACTCATACTGCAAAACAGATCTACCTGCCGGGCTCAAACTGAACGTTATCATTGTTTGCGTTTCACTTAGCGGCTGAGATTGATCTGCAGTACAAACAGAACACCCAGAACCAGAATACACACATCCCTGCGGCAGAGCACTTCTGTTCCATGTAAATAACATACTGCCAGAGAAGTGCCTAAAGGCTCAAATATCCAGCCCCCTAATCATAAGTCATATTATCATTTGCAGTCAAATATTATTATTTTCCCTTCTGTAAAATGCTAGCCCCCAGGAAAACAGGTTTTCCAATTGCAAGTCCGTCATAAGGCTGATCATCTGACCATCACTTAAAGTCAATTAGCATTTTAGCATATGATATTTAACTGATCTGGGATCTTAAAATTTGTTTTAAGGTATTGCTATTGAATAGTTTTAGGGCAGCTATAATTTTAAGAACAATGGAGTACATAATGGTAGGAGGAGCTTTTTTCTGGGGACTGCAGCAAAAGGCTGACTCAAATTCCAGTGTTTCCTAGAAGTTGTTCTGAGTAGTTCTACCGTGACAGGCAACTAGTAATTACTCCAACATAGGACACATCGGTGCTACTGCATCTTGAAGTTCATGTACGACGACCATATGGCAATGATGCAAAGCAATGTATGGCAGTTCCAAGTGTGTCCTAGATGTGTCACACTTGTGCATTTGTAGACCTACTGCACATGCAGAGCAGTTCTATTGCTTCCTAGTCCTATTAGAACTACAGTACATTTTAATAAATCTGCTTATGTGCATTAATTATTAATTATAAGGATAATTAATTGGAGCCAGTAAGATGACAAGAGTATGTAAGTCAGAAAATACCAGAATTAAGATATTCAAAGACTGAGCTTAGCCTCCTTATTCATTTCCACTAATAACTACATTTTCTCACCTCATTCTGACACTGTTTAAATTACATCATGTACCTATACAGAATTTTCTCATAGGCATTTTATCTCCTTTCTTACCATGACTGCCAAGCAATTCAGAACAATACATCTTTACATATCCCTATAAGGTAGAAGTTAGCCATATCTATTGTTCTACAACCAGAACTGAGGTACCAAAAAACAAAAGCCAAAAATGTGTGTTTATTTTGAGGGTCCAGTTTGGGATAATCTGTGTTTAAATTTTTTCTGAATACTAAGTAGCAGAACACTTTCTATGTTGAAACATAACTCCCATTGCCCTCACCTCAGATTAAGACTTTGATTAAGCAAATAAGAGTTCAATTGATGGCTTCAGTTGGACACTCAGATATAGGCAACTGATAGTCATCTATAAAAAGCCTGCTTTAAGTGACTTCCCCTAATGTCACTAACTGTGATCTCAGTCAAGGATGTAATTCAGTTTTTCCAGGCAGCATTCACCTCCTGAAGCCCAACCATTTTATTTCTTCAGTACTTGACCTCCAATAAATGACCCCATGTGTTAAAACAATCTTTATACGTGTTAGCAGGCTGCAGTTGCTAGACAAAGGTCATTCTTGCCTAAACATCTGCAGCTGGAATGTACTTTGTAGCTGGAGCAGCAATAACGTATGTCTTGCCTGTACAGTCCTTAACTTCTGGCAACCAAATGAATAAGTCGTGAGTTGTATGGGACAACCTTCACAGTACCTATCCATCACTCTGGATCCCTGATCCATTGATAATCTGCCGCCAGGTCTATTGAATTATTGTCGTCATTGGGTCATTCTGGAAAACCTCAAAGCTGTCCACTGATCATTTTTATTAGGACATTGGTTTCCATAGTTACAAAATAATCAAAGAATCAAGCTTAATAAAACTGGCAGTGAAAGAATGAATGAAATCATAGGAGAATCACGCTAAGAGGAGGAAAACAAACAAGGGAAATAAAAGAAAAACAAGTAGTTCTGTGATATCCAAACTTCTTGAGGACTGGCTTCCCACCCTTGTGGTTGACTATGAGAACTAACGTTCCAAAGAAATGGGACATTTCTAACATGTCTCTCCTGTGTAGATTCTCTTTTACCTAGTTGAGTTTTAGCACATGTAGCCTTACCTTCTGTTAGGTAACTTACTTAGGCTTATACTTGGTACATTGCTCCTCTAATTTCTCAGAATGTATAGGAACTTAATTTTGCTCAACATTTCTATGGTACGGTTAAATTTTTCTGAAATTGGGCAACGAGTTGCCAACTGTTTGTCCCTGTCATGGACAAACTGACAGATGGTGTGATTGCATAAGCCTCACTTTGTTAGGAAACTAAGCCAAAAACGGTAAATATATGTGTGTAAATGCCTGCCCATCAATTCCCTGTCGCAACCTCTGAGCATGCTTCCCATGTTACAACATGGGTCAGCAAGCACCTATCCCCCTTCCGTCCTGATTATATCAATAACTTATTCAGTGACTAGAGCAGTCAAAGTAACGCTCCTCTCCTAGCAACTAATTTAATGCATTTGTATAGATTACAGTTTCCTTCTGGTTCAAACCTTTCTAATTTGGGATTTGAATTCATATTTGCCTAATGGATTCACTTAATAGTCCCTTGCTCCCAATAAATTCCTCATTTTAACTTTAATTGGTTTGCTCATGAAGAATCAGAATTTACATTAGCTGGAAACGATTTATCACCAGCTATTACTGAATGTAAGTAATATTTGATCAAGCAAAAGGAGAGAGACTCATTTCCTATTTTCTCAGCATTTGCTAATGTTATGGCCAATTTCTACAAAAAGATAAAGTATATTAACATCATAATCAAATAAATGCATTTAGAGTAAGTTCTACTTAAAGACCTTAATTCACTGTCCTCTTAAATCTATGACGTATCTTTGTGACGTGTATAAACTCATAATGATAACCAAAAATAACTACCACATTCAGATGTAGTTGCTGGCTAGACAATTGTTCTTTGGTGCAAAGTCATCAAAACTAAAGGTGTAGACTCTTTTTAGGAAAGGTAATGTAAGCAACAAGCGTATAGTTTGATTACCTGCAGTACTAACATATTAATCATCTCCAGTGATTTTAAAGTCTCAATCTAGAAATAAAGAACTGTTTTATTCTACTTAAATAAGCTCAGCCTGAGGAGTCTGGGAAAGCAAGAATACACAGGACATCTCTGTGAGTGAGTCTGGGAGAGAGGAAGACAAGCTGGAGTTTGGGGGGTACTAAGAAGCCTACATGAATATTTTTGTGAAAGCAACAGATACTGTAAAACTGAATGAAAACAAGTCCATTTGAAACATTTGTGGTTTTGAAAACAAGTTTGAAAACGTAAATTCACAAGCTTCAGGAAACTTACTGAAGGCAAGAAAAAAAAACATGAATACTTAAAAAGTATCACTAGTTTAAAGCAATTATAATTATTTCTGGGTGCCTAACTTACAATTTTTGAACATTTTAGTTGGCAACCGTGGAAGTCAGTGGGTGAAGAATATTGTTTATCCACTGTAAACGCAGATACTATGAATATAATTACATGCAATAAATT